AGTTTGTAATATTTGAAATTATTGTTCTTAGTTTTTAAAATTCAATATTATTTTTTAGTTTGTAATATTGTGAAATTATTGTTGTTAGTTTTTAAAATGAAACATTATCTTTTAAAAATGAACACATAGAAATGACATAGTATTGACAATACAAGGCCTCATAGTAAAAGGTAGGTGTACATCAACAAAAACTACATGGCAATTAAATTGTTCCACTGTTGCACGCGAGCATGGTACAAAGCATCCATTCTACCATCCATTCTACCATCCCGTTGAGATTTATGAGTTGCTACTACTAAACAAAAGCCTGATCTAATTGCAACCTGTTTTGCCCAATCAATCGCTTGTTGAGCATCTTCGAACAGGCCATCATGTACAAAAATCCCACTGTAATCATTTCCGTCTCCACCATAATCCTGTAACAATAACATATAACGTATAAATATAATTACATTAAGATTAAATTAATACACTTAACACAAAATTATCACAAACGCAATTTCTAAATTTTAAATTTCTAAATATCATTTTTATATTTAACGCATAATACATTTAAAAAACAAAATAATAACACACATTTCATTTCAAATTTATCAAACATAAATAAACAAACAAAAAAAACCATAATAAAAAAAAATAAACAAATACAAAACAAAATAAAACAAAATAAAACAAAAAAAAAAAAAAAGGGATTAAATTAAAAAAAAAAAAAAAAAAAAAAAAGAAAAACAAACAAAAATAAAAACAAATAAACCAATAAAAAAAAAAACAAAAACAAAACAAAAAAAAAAAAAAAAAAAGGGATTAAATTAAAAAATCAAAAAAAAAAAAAATAAAATATATATATATATATTCCCCTAATGGCGCCTGGCCAGGACGCCGGAGCCACGCCCTGGGCGCCTGGCCAGGCGCTCTGGCCGTGGCTTCGGCGTCCTGGCCACGCGCCACTACCATGGTCGAGGCTTCTCCACCAGGCGCCGTGACCACGGTGGCGGCGTCCTGGCTAGGCGCCACAACCACGGCATGGCCTTTTGGCTAGGCGCCAGCCACCATTTCGTCCTTACGATGCGTTACGAACCTCGTTTTCCGATGACGACGGCGATTCTCCGGTGATCCTCGGCGATCCGGTGCTGCTCCACATTTTTTTAGTGCGAAAAATTTATCTTCGGTTAAAATTATAAAAAGGGCAAATTTGTCAAAAAATTATAAAATGTGGGCTTTATGTAGAGATTTGCGGGCGATGAATAACAAGTCCCATTATTTTCCCCTTCCCCTTTATTTTTATTTTGTTTCATCACCACCCACACACACCACCAACCGGCCGACCACCACCACAGCCACCACCAGCCGGCTGCCACCACCACCAGCACTCGCCGGCAGCGGCGGGCGTGGCAACAGCTCGGCCTTGGTGGTCGTGCGCCCTTTAGAAAAAAAAAATTCTTCTTTTGATTTTTAATTCAATCCACCCTTAATCTAATTATTGTTTTTGGGTTTTGTGATAATTTTTATGATGTTTGATGATAAGTATTTTGTATATAAATTTTCAAATTTGGTTTTGAATTAAAAAGCCACAAATTATAAACCCTAGGTTTCTAAGTTTATGCATATTGATGGAAATTGTTTATGGTTGATTTAAATTATTGAAACAAGTGTTTTAAAACACAATTACAACAATTTTAGATGATTTAATAAAGCTGAAATTTTTATATATAAGCTATAATTATGTTTCTTGAAAGGATTTTTAATTACCCATTAATTGGGAATAAAAGTAAGGGTTTTAAACTAAATTTCAGCTTATTTTAGAGGGTTTATGAGTGATTTAAAGAGTGTATATATTGCTGGAAATTTATATTGAATAGGTAATGCCTCTTTGTAATTTTTGTTTGTAGGAGATTTCCAAGTAAGTGATTTTATTTAGTTGTGGCGATTTTGAGATCATATTCAAGGCACGTTCGCGTACTTGGTAATTATTTGAGTATGTAGAAGCATGCTAGGCTTTGATAAATTAATTCCAAATAGTATCATGATAGGTGCTGGTTGGAATTGTTGATTGGATTGATGTTGGTGAATGATTTGTGATGTATGAATTATTTGTGGCGAATTGATGATTGGAATTAATTATGTTGGCATGCTAGATATGAACCATACTTTTATTATTGGCATGATGGAGAGCATGTTTAATTAAACTAAATGTTTATTTTGGTTTGGAATATTATAAAGGAATTTATTATGGTTCATATAATTTTTATTGATGCTTTAAGCATGGAAATTGAGCTATTAAGTGTCTTAGTACACAGGAATAAATTATATTGCGATGCCTATGTGCACTTAAGGTGTTTCTAACACCGAGGGATAGGATTTACGGCGCATTATGAGTTTAAGGTGTCTTTGACACCGAGGTAGATTAAAAAGGGTTCAATTATTAAAATTTATGTGGTCATTAACTATTCAAGAATTTAAATTGGTATGTTTGATTGCTTGAATAATTATAATGTTGGTTTGTGTTATGGTTGAGAGTCATCACCAAGTCTAATAATATGTAAATAACGTAAAGTTAAAGAGATTACACACCAAAACTCTTGGAACGTATATACCTCGAGTATGAACATATGGGGGGAGTTATGCGACTTTATATTTGACCATAACTTCTACTGGGAGTACGGGACGCTGTGTTCTCCTATTTATTTATTTTATGCGCAGGACGTCCAGTCACTTCATGTGACATTTGCCTACCTGGTTTGCACCCGGTGTAGTTTACCTCAATTTATTTGGGCAGGGATTTGGTTGAAAACCCTTTCCGTGCGTATCAAATTAAATAGACATTGGTATTTGTCTAGTTAGATGTTGGATGTCTTATATGCTTGTTTACAGGTGCAACAAGGTAAGTTATGTGATGATAAGATGAAAGCATGTTAGTGTGTTTTTATTACGCTTATGTACTCGGTATTACTGATTGTGTATTGTATGTTTGTTTGGCCTTGTCTTTACCTTGGCCCTACGACGACCCATTTCTAATGGCAAGTAGTGGGGACAAGTAAAGAGGAGTTTTTCAGGTGATGGAGCATTTTCATGACGGGCATGAGTGAAGAGCGAATCATGCTTAGTTTCCATAGGAATATGTAGTGTTTTATTTGCTTTGAATATTACTTATTTTATCATGATTGTGAAATTAACGCAAAGGGTTTTGAGTATTATTTGGTTTTAAGGGCCTACAATGGTTCCAAGCTGTAAGTTGACTTTGTTTAACTTTGTTTGACTGTACTTGCGTTTGATTTGACTTTTAAGTTGACTTGTTTTGGATAGTTTTAAAAAAAAAAATCTTCCGTTGTGTGTCTTTGATAATTGCCTTAGCCGTTTTCACGGTGGCGGTAATGTCTTAGCTTTTCGTATTTCGTATTTTAAAAAGGGCAAAACAGGTATTTTAAAGGAAAGGAATTTCTAGGGTGTTATAAAGTGGTATTAGAGTCAGGTTGAGATTTTTATTACCACTAAAGCCAAAAACGTGTTTTAAAGTGTTTTGTTTTAAACTTGGCCAAGTGTTTATTAAATCAAGTAATTTTAAAAGAGAGTTATTTTCCCTTATTTTAATTTTTGGAAACAGACAATTTTTTTTTATTATTGTAGAAAATACGAATTTTTATTTTATGAAGGACATCCAATTTTTTTTTTTTATTTTTTTTTTATTTTGGGGTGCCCGAATTTTTTTTTATGTTGGCTGAATATTTTGGCCTTTTTCGGGGCTTATTTTCGAAAATTAATTTTAAAAGAGGAGTCAAAAATATTTTTAGTTTGTTCATTTTGCAGGAAAGCAAGGATTGATGTAAGTATTATATGTTGAAAGCTTTTAAAAGCATGTTGGTGAGCTTGGGTAGGAAAGAATTTGGGGCATATAAGTTAGAAATGATTATGTTCTTGTATGCATTAATATTTCAAGTTGTGATGTTTTATCATGTGGAGTGATTAATTGAAAGCATGTGATTATGTGATTAAGAATAAGTGAAATTATTTGATTGAACATTGAACCTAATTCATACAAAAACTTTATTAATTTTTATTTTCTTTGGGAAGAGAATTCTTTTCTAAGCCTTTTCCTTTACAGGATGCCGATTCTTCCTAGCAAACATTCCCAATTTGGTACTTTAATTAATAAAAACAATGAACATGCATTTGATTATGTCAACAAAATCAGATTCTATTGTTCCCATATGAGCGATGTCTTAGGAGACAAGCACTATAACCTTCTTGATCGATCAAGTTTCTGCTATGATTATTCACTGTCTTCCGGATGAACCCCCATACCTTGCTGTCAAAGCAAAATTTTCTGATTTCTATTTACCAGGGGACATCCCAAACTACTCTAAATACAGAGACTATTATGGCCAGTGGTATCCAGATTATAGGTACCTAATTTCTTACCTCGTTGAGTTGAGAAATATCATTGTGAGCGCTTGCATATTCCATATCCAAACTACTACTACGAAAATCCGGCAGGGAATAATTCCCCTTCTACTAGTCATCAGTCAGGAAGTTCTTCTCCCACTCAGGGTAATCAAGCAGGGACAGATGGAAGGCATGAAGAAGGAGAGATGATGGATGAGAGTTACCATACTGTTGATAGTTCCATTATGGAGATTCCAAATCCAAATCCACCTCCAACTCAAATTATAATCGACATTTCATCTGACGATGAGAAAGATGAAGAGTTTGTCCAAATAGAGCAAGAACCAGAGTCACCTGAACCAATGGAGGAAGAAGATGACCCTGAATTCGATCCTGGAAGCTACAAACAATCTATCGACGAGAAGGATAATGTTCGAAAGGACTAGATTTTTGTAGTTTCATTTCTTTTAAGATTCTTAGATTCGTTTCCGCATTTTAATTATTCCAGTTTCAGTGAAGCAATAAGTGGCATGTCCACAGTGAGTCAGTAAACTTATGTAGTTGCACAAGTTAATCAAACTCATTTTAAAGACCCCTTATGTTAATTCAGGCGAAGAAAGATGGTAGGAGGGAGTGGTAACAACAATGATGGAGGAGAGCTAAGTGAAGTTGTGAGGCAGTTGGCAGCTGTTGCCCAACAATTGGCAAGGAACTCAACCAATAATGTGGATGCTCAGGGAGAGCTGTTTAAAAAGGTGGCGCAGAGCAAGCCACCAACCTATCAAGGAGAGCCTGATCCAACTATACTGGAAAACTGGTTGAGAGAGTTTGAGAAACTGTTTCGGGCAGTAGGGTGTCCGGAAACTTCAAAAGAAGGTTGTGCTACCTACTACCTCAGGGGTGAAGCTGACCTTTGGTGGCAGCAAAATGAAGTTACCATTAAGGCACTACCTAGATTCAATTGGACGATGTTTCAGGAGAAAATTAGGGACAAGTTTTACCGTAGCTTCTTACAGAAACAGAAAGCTGAGGAATTTTCTAACCTTGCATTGGGGAATATGTCGGTCACTGAATACTACACCAAGTTTATTGAGCTATCACGATTTTCTAAAAAGTATGTCTCTACAGAAAAGTCTAAGGCTAGGAAGTTTGAGAGTGGACTAACTACTGATTTGCAGTTAAAGTTGTGTGGGCAAGTATTTGAAACCTTGGATGAAGTGTATGGGAGAGCTGCACACCTATATACAATTAAAGAAAAGGAAAGAGATAGTTGAAGTGGAAGGAAAGGAGAAGAGAAAAGAGGTGGGACAGAATTCTGGAAACCCGCAAGGTAACCAGAACAACTTCAAAAAGCAAAATTACCACCATAATAACAACTTCCACAACAACAGTAATTTCCAAGGCAACATTCGCCAAGGTGGTCGGAACTTTAATGGTGGAGCTAAGAACTCTACATAGGGAAATAACAGAGGAGCAAGGCATTTCTACTGCAAGAGGTGTAAGAACGATCACCCTGGTAGGAATTGTGATGGAAATTTGGTTACCTGTCCTGCTTGCAACAAGTTAGGACACGGGGAGTATGAATGTTCCTCCAAGGACCCCAATAAAAACAAGCAGGGAAATAATCAAGGAGGGGTTCAAAGGAACTTTCAGGGAAATAAAAACTATTCAGGAAAAAAGGGGGCACAACAGAATGGAGCGAAAGGCAACAACAATAATAATGGGGGAAATCAGGTGAAGAGTGGAGCTCCAAGGAAATTGAATGTGATGTGTAGGCATGAGGTTGATTCCACGAAAGATGTCATCACTGGTACCTTTTCTATTAACTCTATTCATGTTAAAATCTTGTTTGATTCTGGTGAAACCTTTTCTTTCATTTCAAAGGCCATTGTTTCAAAATTATCAAACTGTTTGAAAACCGTAGATGAGGTAGATTTGCCCATAGTTATTCCTACGGGTGGGGTAGTAAAGTGTAACAAGACCTTTAAGGATGTACCTTTAGAAATCAAAGGAAAAGTGTTTCTATCAGATCTCATCGAGTTTGGGTTGACTTCGATGTTATTTTGGGAATGGATTGGTTAAACAAGTACAATGAGGAGATTAGTTGTCGATCACAGAAAGTAAAAATGAGTACAGTTGATAATGAGTTGGTGACATATTGGATGCATGGTGAAACCAAGTGCCCAAGGATCATATCTGTGTTAAAATTGGCAAAGTATATTAAGAAGGGGCATCCAGTGTATTTTTGTAGTGTGAGGAATATGGAACATGAAGAGACAACTAAGCTTGAGGATATAGAAGTAGTAAATGAGTTTCTGGATGTGTTTTCAGAAGAGATTCCTAGAATGTCACCCAAAAGGGCAATTGATTTCACAATAGAGCTAAGTCTAGGAACAACACCAATTTTCAAGGCACCATATCAAATGGCACCTGCAGAGATGAGTGAGTTAAAGGAGCAATTGCAGGATTTATTAGAAACGGGATACATAAGACCAAGTTCATCACCTTAGGGAGCGCCGGTATTATATGTGAAGAAGAAAGATGAAAGTATGAGGTTATGTATTGACTATAGGGAGTTAAATAAGGTCACCATAAAGAACAAGTACCCATTACCAAGGATTGATGACCTATTTGACCAGTTGAGAGGCGCAACTGTGTTTTCTAAGATTGATTTAAGGTCTGGTTACCATCAACTTAGGATCGCAGATGAAGATATTCCCAAGACTGCATTTAGAACAAGATATGGACATTATGAGTTCACGGTAATGCCTTTTAGATTGACGAATGCTCCTGCAATCTTTATGGACTTGATGAATAGGGTGTTTCATCCATTTATGGACAAGTTTGTGGTAGTGTTCATAGATGATATACTGGTGTATTCAAAAGGTAAAGAAGAACATGTAGAGCATCTGAGGGCAATTCTGCAAACACTGAGGGAAAACAAGCTTTATGCAAAGTTCTCTAAAGGTGAGTTTTGCTTGGAGAAGGTAGCATTTCTAAGTCATTTTGTGTCCAAAGATAGGCTAGAAGTAGATCCAACAAAGATTAAGGCAGTGAAAGGTTGGCCTACGCCAAAAACAGTGTCTGATGTTAGGAGTTTCTTAGGTTTAGCAGGGTATTATAGGCGTTTTGTGAAGGATTTTTCAAGGATTGCTAAGCCTATGACCTCTCTAATGAAGAAGGACAAGAAGTTTGAGTGGGATGACAAGTGTGAGGAAGCATTCCAACTCTTGAAACAAAAGCTAATCACAGCGTCAGTGCTTACACTGCTAGACGATAGTGGAATTTATGATGTATATAGTGACGCATCCAAGAATGGTCTGGGATGTGTACTTATGCAAAATGGGAAGGTGATTGCGTATGCATCAAGACAATTAAAGACTCATGAAGTAAATTACCCTACTCATGACTTAGAACTGGCTGCAATCATTTTTGCGCTAAAGATTTGGAGGCACTACTTGTATGGAGTGAAATGTAGGATTTATACAGACCATAAGAGTTTGAAATACATTTTCACTCAAAGGAATTTAAACTCACGCCAAAAGAGATGGTTAGAATATACGACGGGTTATGACTTAGAAATACAATATCATGAAGGGAAAGCAAATGTAGTTGCGCACGCTCTAAGTTGTAAGACCATCCATGGACTAAATACTTTGATAGTGGCTGATGAGTTGTATAGAGAAATGAAGAAAATGAATCTAGAAGTGGTAGAATAGGGAGTGCCAACAGGCATACTTGCAAACCTAAGTATTCAACCAACAATATTTGATGAGATAAGGGAAAAACAAGCAGGAGATGTAAAGTTGGATAGGATTCGTGAAAAAATAAAGCAAGGAAAAGCTACGGATTTCAAAATTCATGAAGATGGGAGTTTAAGGTACAAGGGTCGTTGGTGTGTACCACAAAAATGTGAGGAGGTAAAGAGAAAGTTGATGGAAGAAGGCCACAATACACCATATTCAGTACACCTAAGAAGGAACAAGCTATATAAAGACTTGAAAAAGATGTATTGGTGGCCCAGAATGAAGAATGAGGTTGAGGAATTTGTGGCAAAGTGTCTAACTTGTCAGAAAGTGAAGATAGAACACAAAAGACCGCAAGGAACTGTGCAATCATTGGAAATTCCTGGATGGAAATGGGATTGTATTTCAACGGACTTTGTGACTTGCCTCCCAAAGTCAAAATACTAGTTTGAATAAGAGAAGGGTTCATTAAGGGTAGAAAGGGGAATTTAAGTAGGAGGGTTTAGAGAGGGGGTATAAATACCCATCACATGGGCAAATTGAACCTTGCCCAAGGTGAAGAATACCCAAAGGTAACTCTCTTTCTCTCTTCTTATTTTCTCTTTCTCTCTCTTATTTTCCCCTTCCTCTTTATTTTTATTTTGCTTCATCACCACCCACACACACCACCACCGGCTGGCCACCACCACCAGCACTCGCCGGCAGCGGCGACCACCTAGCGGGCGCGGTAGCAGCCCGGCCTTGGTGGTCGTGCGCCCTTTAGAAAAAAAAAATCTTCTTTTGATTTTTAATTCAATCCACTCTTAATCTAATTATTTTTTTGGGTTTTGTGATAATTTTTATGATGTTTGGTGATAAGTATTTTGTATATAAATTTTCAGATTTGATTTTGAATTAAAAAAGCCACAAATTTAAAACCCTAAGTTTCTAACTTTATGTATATTGATGGAAATTGTTTACGGGTGATTTAAATTATTGAAATAAGTGTTTTAAAACACAATTACAGCAATTTTAGATGATTTAATAAAGCTGGAATTTTTATATATAAGCTATAATTATGTTTCTTGAAAGGATTTTTAATTACCCATTAATTGGGAATAAAAGTAAGGGTTTTAAGCTAAATTTCAGCTTATTTTAGAAGGTTTATGAGTGATTTAAAGAGTGTATATATTGCTGAAAATTTATATTGAATAGGTAATAAGGCCTCTTTGTAATTTTGGTTTGTAGGAGATTTCCAAGTGAGTGATTTTATTTAGTCGTGGCAATTTTGAGATCATATTCAAGGTACGTTCGCGTACTTGGTAATTATTTGGGTATGTAGAAGCATGCTAGGCTTTGATAAATTAATTCCAAGTAGTATCATGATAGGTGTTGGTTGGAATTGTTGATTGGATTGATGTTGGTGAATGATTCGTGATGTATGAATCATTTGTGGTGAATCGATGATTGGAATTAATTATGTTGGCATGTTGGATATGAACCACACTTTTATTATTGACATGATGAAGAGCATGTTTAATTAAACTAAATGTTTATTTTGGTTTGGAATATTAAAAAGGAAATTTATTATGGTTCATATAATTTTTATTGATGCTTTAAGCATGGGAATTGAGCTATTAAGTGTCTTAGTACACAGGAATAAATTATATTGCGGTGCCTATGTGCACTTAAGGTGTTTCTAACACCGAGGGATAGGATTTGCGGCGCATTATGCGTTTAAGGTGTCTTTGACACCGAGGTAGATTAAAAAGGTTCAACTATTAAAATTTATGTACTCACTAATTATTCAAGAATTTAAATTGGTATGTTTGATTGCTTAATGATTATAATGTTGGTTTGTGTTATGGTTGAGAGTCATTACCAAGTCTAATAATATGTAAATAACGTAAAGTGAAAGAGATTACGCACCAAAACTCTTGAAACGTATATACCTCGAGTATGAACATATGGGGGGTGTTATGCGACTTTATATTTGACCATAACTTCTACTGGGAGTACAGGACACATACTAGAAATAGACCTTTTTCCGACGGACTGTTTCTGACGGACACGAATTTCCGTCGGAAATCCCATATATTCCGACGGAATATAAATCCGTCGGAATAAAAATTTCCAACGGAAATAAAATCCGTCAGAAAGCCCATATTTGTACTTTCCGACGGAATATTCCGTCGGAAAAGGTCATTTCCGACGGAAAAATATTCCGTCGGAATATAACTTAAAAAATAAAAGGAAAAAAATGAAATTTCATTAAAAAAAACCCCAACCCTAACCTTTTTCTCTCTCCTGTGACCCTTTTCTTTTTTCCCTCCTTTCTCTCTCCTGCGCCCCTCCTCTCTTCTATTTCTCTCTCCTGCGCCCCTCCTCTTTCTGGTTTCTCTCTCCTCTTCAGTTTTTCTTTCTCCCTCCTCTTCTCCTTCCCCTTTTCTTTCTGGTTTCTCGTTCTCTCTCCTCTTCTCCTTCCCCTTCTCTTTCTCAGTTTCTCGCCTCCTTCTTCTCTCTCCTCCGCCCTCTCTTTCTCTGTCTTCTCCTTCTCCTTCCTCCATTTCTCTTCTCCTTTTTAGTTCTCCTCTCTCATCCGCCCTCTCTTTCTCTCTCTTCTCCTTTTCCTTCCTTCATTTCTCTTCTCCTTCTCAGTTCTCCTCTCTTCTCCTTGCACAACCAACACCACCATCGGCGCTACGTAACCAACACCACTGCCACCACGGAGTTTGTTTTGATTATTTTCAAGGTTTTTTAGGCCAAATTCAACCATTAAAAGCCTAGATCTAGACTATTCATGGCAGAATTTGGCCTTGTTAAACCGTTTTCGTGGTGAAATTGCCTTAGCTGTTTTCACGGTGGCGGGAATGTCTTAGATTTTCCTATTTTGTATTTTAAAAAGGGCAAAACAGGTATTTTAAAGGAAAGGAATTTCTATGGTGTTACACTTTACTGCTATAGAATTCACAATTATTATAATGAGCGAAAGAACTGAAAGCATTGAAGCTTATCTGCACACACTGTTAACATCCTTGTGGGCCGTTGTGGCCTAGCTAATTTCAAATTAAAGACTTCACTATCCTAATTTACCACATATAGGTGACCTAGCCATCCTTTCTATTTTCTAAGCTTCTAGTCCCTAATCTTCTTGCACGGTTGAACCCCTACACCTCCTTATTGCCGGCCCTGCCATATGCCAACAACCAACTCTACACTAGAAGTATCCATATCATGATACAAGCAAGCAATCATGACGAGGTTGCTTCCTCCATTTTACAATAGTTTTTATGTTTGATTTTTCACAATGTTTAATGCGCAATTTTAACCATAGATATCTATAATTATACTTTACAA